TGTACAAAGAAAAATAATCTAAATCAATACTCTTTCTTAACACTAACATTTATTTAAAAAAAAAATTTGAACCATGAAGTTAGGTTTCCTCTCGTTACTAAAATTACTTGCAATTACTACATTAATCAAAACTGTTCTTTTGGATCCTTCTTTGTTACTTACGCACAACAATTCGTATTTGCTTGAAAGCTATGGCAAGCCTTTATATTCTTAGGATTTTTTAAAAAATATATTAAAATGTTTAGTGATTATATTCAGCTATTTAAATAATAATAATTAGCCTAATAATGCAAATAAACTTATATATTAGGCCAAATTTTAATAAAAAAAAATGAGAAAACTACTAAATACCTCTTTCGAAAAACATGAGTCTTTTCTTTAACTTTTGTAAAAATTATTCTAAAAAACAAGTGCATGCGCTTCACCATGAATTGTTTTAAGTAAAAATAATAACTATTTTTAAATTACAAAAAATAAACTAATATTTTAGGAGATCATTCTTCTCTAAAACTGTTTTACTTAAATGTTTTCAAAGTACAAATTTTCAAATACTAAACACTTTTTAATGCTTTTACACCAAGTCGAATTCAAAGCTCTTCGCTTTTTAATGCTTTTTAATGTTTTTTAAACCAATCTCCACCATCTTTATTTTCCTTCTTAATTTTTGTAAAACAGTCGATCAAGGGAGAGTCAAGGCTAAGCAATTTCCAATAAATATATCATAATCTATCTAACAAAAACAATAAAACCATGAAGAAAATATATAAACGTGTCTCCCAAAATAAGCTCTCCGACCATACATTACCAACTTCAAATAATAAACAAAATATTTAACTCAGCAAGCCCCACAACGAACATACAAAAAAACTCACAAAATGATTCAACAACAGAAAAAATTAACAAATTACGAATACAAAATTTTTCTGTCAAAACACATGAACATTATATAAACTATAAACTCTGCAAACTATTCAATAAAATACAATTAAACAAAAAGTAAAGAACTAACCTTCTCTTCCTCTCTGGAGAATAAGTGAAGAGCTAATGCGGTGCCTTCTCCACAACACTCCCCGGCTTTTATAGTCATTTCTGATTATCTCCCCAACCACCTCAATCACTCCACCACACTGAATGCCACCAAACCAACAATCAACCACCGCCATGCACTGAATGTGCGAAATCAGTGCGGAATTTTCGGATCTGGTCGGGGAAACGACAGGCGCCAAGAAAAAAACAATAGAATGCGCCAGCTATATAAGCGCATTCTATGAATTACGCCAGATGTTTCGGCGCATTCTATAGAATGCGCGGAACAATTACACGCATTCTATAGAATACGCGGAATTGTTACGCGCATTCTATAGAATACGCCAAACGATTACGCGTACTCTTCAGAATACGCTTTTAATTACATTGTATTCTTTAAAAACGCCAATGTTTATGGCGTAGTTGCTGCTTCTCAAATTGTTTAGATACCACGCTGCTTCTCCTAATAACGGCATCAACCGTGCTGCTTCCGAAAATTTGGCCAATATTCATTACTTGCTCCGCCACCAAAGAGAATACATAAATAAAAAAAAATATTAGAAAATAGATTTTGAAATTAATCATCGGCAAAGCTCGAACAAGTCTAAGAAATTTTGTATGAAGACCAACTAAACTATAAGTAAGAAAATAATCATTCCAACTTTCATTCCTTCTCTTGCTGTCAAAAAGAGATTATTACAAGTATTGGAAAATAATGTGACCATTAAAATAAACAAAGTAAGACAATACATCCATCAAACTCCTCAACCCAAAATTATTTGTGTTAAAATAGGATTATTTAAATTAAGAGGAGATGATCCATACGCTATTTTATTAATCCTATCAGAATTTTGAACTATATAAAACACATCTTAGGGGGAGGAAATGTAGATCGAATTACTGTTTTAATTTAACAAGAAATAAAACTTATTTTTTCTAATTTACTTTAGAGAAAATAATCAAGGCATATCTCATTTTCATTTTATGAAAAATTCATAGAGGAGGATATGAATAAAATGTAATATAGAAAGGAGGAAGAAGGTTGAGAAGAAGAAATGAAGGAAGAGGAAGAAGGATAAAAGAAAGGAGATTACCTAAATTTGGAATGGCCGGGTCGGCGTAGTCGGTGGCGGCTAAGGTAGTGGATCGTCGTGCTCGGACAATGGAACGAGAGAGGGGAGATTTTCGCCTAGGTTTCTCACGCTTAGATCCGAGAGAAGCTAAGAGTTGCCAACTGGGATGGATTTCAGTTCTGGTTTTCTCGTGCAAGAGAGAGATCCGGAGAGAGGTTCGGTTCTATATCTGCGAATGAAGAGGAGATGGACTGGACTTTACAGGTTGAAGGGGAGAGAGGAAGTAGGTTTGTGCGATTTTTGAGAGAGTGCAACAGTGTGGGAGTTATGGGCTTCGTGCGATTGGAGAGGCGACGGGATGGAGCAGTTTCGAACTGCAGGGGAGATCGTGCTGGGTAGTGCGAACTGTTCTGGGCGAGAGAGAGAGAGAGAGTGACGACTTGGGGGGTTTCGGTTTCAGGGGTGTGCGAACTGAGCGAAAGGGTTGGGGGATTCGTTTCTTCCTTGAGGATTTCGGAAGAAAGGGCTTTGTGTGAATGAGGTCATGGGAGGAGGAGTTCGGTTGTGTGTGTGCGAATAGAGAGAGGAGACGGTGATCGTGGGATTGGGAGTTTGGATCAGCCTTAACTACAGATTATCCTTCTAATTTTAATTAAAATCAACGGTTAGGATTTAGGAATTGGGTAGGATTTGATCAAAATAAAAAAAAATTATTAGATAGAATTCGGGATTTAATTGATGAATTGATTTGAGCCCAACGATATATTAATTTGATCGAAAATAAATTAGATTGAGTCGATCGACATCGACGAATAAAAAATCGAGCCTGATTTGAGTTCATTTTGGAGTTGAATTGAAATTGGATTGAATTGATTTTGATTCGAATTGAATGGTAGGTTCGAGTCGACGCTACGTCAATGGGTATCCACCTAAGAGAAATCCTATGGGCGACGTCTACACTAGGCTACGAAGACCTAGATGTTAGAGTCGATTCCGTGGAAATTGACCTCGAATAATGAGGTCAACAATTACCATGGAACTATTGTTGTATTTCCGTCATTGGACCATCACCTAACTACAACCATTTTATCACAATTGTTCAACTATGACACTCCAACCACCATCATCCGATCAAAGCCATTCGACCACCATCCCCTCACTACAACTCTTTGATCTATATCACTTAATCATGATTCTTTAATTATTATAACTTGATTATAGTTCTTCGATCACTGTCACTCGATTGCGGTCCTTCGATCACAATTGCATGACTATGATATTTTGATCACAAGTTCACAACTACCTGATAACTATTAATTGACCATTGTCATCCCACTATGATTCTCCAACTATCATTGCTGGATTATGATCCTCTGACCACCGCCACTCTATTATGGTCCTCCAAACACTACTACTCAATTAAATTCTTTTAATACGGTCACTTGACTATAGTCCTTGACTTTAATCACCCACTATTGTCCTTCGATCATTGTGGCCCAATTATGGTCATCGAACTGCTATCGTCTGGCTATGGTTCTCTGACCACGGGCATCTAACTACAATCCTACGCCCACCTTCACCCAACTATAATTCTTCGACCATCGTCACCTAACTATGAACCTTCAAACTATCGTTTGGCCCAGTATCACCTACCATTGCTACTAATGTTAATCAAACTATCATTTATAAGATCGATGTACTGTATCAACACTAATTCTAACTTTTGATGTCAATATCAGGATTTAGGCTTGACATTTTTGTTTCTGATCTACAACTTCAAATACGTAGTATGGTTTATTGCATGTTTTTTTTACTATATTGAATCAATGTATTCCCTAAAAAAGGCCATTATTTATTGCCAATAAAAAGTAATAATATAATCATTTTAACTTGACTATATCCAATAGTTTTTTGCTTTTTCGGATTTTTCACATAAATACTCTATTATCTCTTACAAATAATGTACTCTTTTATCTGTGTTTGAATTGGATCTTCTTATAAATACTAAGATAACAAACTCTCTAACCTAGCACCCTGAATGTTTTGAGATGTAAACATGATTTTTTTAAAAATTACATTTTCCTTTATCATTTTTTTCTACTGCCTATAAATAATCACTATTGTATCAACATATACTGATACCAATGTAAACAAGTCGAGTTGAGCTAGGCTTGAACTTGAGCTTGATTAATTGATCGAGTTTGAGCTAGAACTTGAGCTTAATTTTACGAGTTTAGATCGGCTCACAAACCCGCTCATTTATTATGAAAAAGAGAACATTATTATGATTTAAATACTTAATATAATAAAATGATAAAATCAATGAAAAATTAAAATATAACTAAGAAAGAATTACTTTATAAAGTGAATTGAAATATTATTTTCAAATGCTAATAAATTTTGAAAGTGTGCTATATTAATTTATTTTAAATGAGTTGGCTCATAAACTAATAGGTTAAATTGGGAGTAGCTCAAATTTGCCATATTAGTTTGTTGAGCCCACTCATTAGCAGCCGACGCCGAGCCCGCTCACGGGTTTTGCTCTATTTAGGCTGTGTGAAGTGATGATGTTCTATGAGTTTGCATGCAAAGCACCTACAGAAAGCAGAAAACTTTCCGCCTTCTCTCTTCTCCAGTTCGACGATTCCAACCCTACGTGGTTTTCCTTCCGCAAATCCTCTCACAGCACGCATCCCCCTTCTTCCTCGATCCCATTCTCCCACTTCCCCTCTCTCTTTACTTCCCTCCCATTACCTAACAACCCAAACATCTCCTCTTTGGACACATTGTCATCAGTTCCGAAACTATACATATTTTACCAACGTCTTCCAGTGGAATTCTACCTTAAAAGCTCGAATCGATGCAGGTTTCTTCGAATGCGCTCTCTCTCTATTCTCCTCAATGCTGGCAGGTGGCGGCCGACCCGATCATTTCACTTTCCCTCTTGTCGCCCGAGCTGTTTCTGCCCTCCCTGGCCGCTCCGGCCTCACAAAGGAAATCCACTCTCTTGGCATCCGTCTGGGTTTCAGCGGTGATGGATATTTCCGCAACTCCTTGATTGGTTTGTATGGTAGATGTAAGGATATTGTATATGCTCGCAACATGTTTGATGAAATGCGTGATAGAGATGTGGTCTCTTGGACCACTATGATCTCTGGTTATATTCAGAGTGGAGACATCTTAGAATCCTTTAGACTGTTCCACGAGATGAGAACTTCTGGGATTGAGCCCAATTCTGTGACATTGGCAGTCGTTATTCGAGCATTTAAAGTTGAAAAAATTGTAGATGGTGGGAGGCAACTTCATGGTTTTGCAATCAAGAGAGGGTTTGGGAGCCAAGAGTTGGTCCAAAATTCTATTTTGACGGCATATAGCAAGATGGATTGTTTCGAGGAGGCAGAGAAGCTCTTTCATTTTATGGAGGAAAGGAGTTTTGTTTCATGGAATATTCTCATGTTGGCATATTTTTCAGCTGGGGATTTCTTCAAAGTAGTTGAATTCTTTCAGAGAATGATGGCTGAATTGTATCCTAGTCCGGAGACACTGACTCTCGTCATCTCGGCATTGAGCAAGTGCAGAAAACATCGGATGGGCCAGCAGATTCATTGCTATGCAGTAAAGCGTGGACAGATTGACATGGTTCTTCAAGCTTCTTTCATGGACTTCTATGCCCAGTGTGCAGATTTCGCATCTTCTTTTTCATTGCTTGAAGAAGTTGGCAAACTCAATTGCAGCACCCCATGGATAGTTATGATGTGGGCATTGGTACAAAGTGGGCAATTCATACAGGTTATCAGCTTATTTCAGAAAATGCAAAATTTGGGGTTTGAGCCAAATGCTGAAGCTATGAGGTGCTTGGTTACTGCATATACTCACTTGGGTGCCCTGCTGCTAGGAAAAGTAATCCATGGGTACCTGGTAAGACATCAGTTAAGTGCTGAATCAGAAGCAGAAAGGCTTGAAACATCTATTCTTAACATGTATGCTAAATGTGGTAATATCACTTGTGCGCGGAGGTGTTTCGATAATATGGTATACAGAGATATCGTGACTTGGAGCTCGATGATGGAAAGCTATGCCATCCATGGAATGGGATTAGAAGCTATAAAGCTGTTCCACCAAATGCAGGAAGCTGGAGTCAGCCCAAACAGCATTACATTCCTTAGTTTGTTATCCTCTTGCAGTCACTCTGGTCTTCTATATGAAGGTTGTCAGGTTTTCACTTCTATGACTGAAAATTTTGGAATAAAGGCAGATCTAAGCCATTACACTTGCATGGTAGACCTTCTTGCTCGAGCCGGAAAGCTTACTGAAGCCTTAAATTTGATTCATTCCATGGATGTGAAGCCTGATTGGCGGATTTGGGGAGCTCTTCTTGCTTCATGTAGAGTACATGGAAATATTAAAATTGGAGAATGTGTTGCTCAAAGAATGTTCGAATTGGAACCAGATAATGTGGGTTACCATATTATTTTGAGTAACATGCAAGCTGGTGGAGACCAATGGGCTAAAGCTGAAGGAATTTGGAAGAACATTAAGGAAATAGAGTTCAAGGGTAGACCTGGTTGGAGTTGCATAGAAGAGAAGGGGGGATTTTCCTTTTTTGTTGCTGCAGATTACTCGCATCAACGAGCAGAAGATATCTATGAGACATTGAAATATCTGGGTAGAAATGTTCAAGAGATCAAATGCTTGTGAAGCAAAATTTGCTGGAGATGTCCGATTGAGGAACTGGTTTGCTTAAATATGCTTTCTGCTACCAGATTTTTGTTCTCGAAACTTTGGCTTTCCAAGAATAGTAACAGAGGTATGACTGTCATGACTGTCAGTTAATGAAAATGTGCCAATATTTCCGAATGAAATTCAGTTAAATATAAATTACATTGAAACCAAACTCTGTGGCTTTGTTTGTCTTGCAAGAATTGGGTGGAAGCCGGAAGGTAATTTTTTTTTGCTTAAAAATTTTATTTTTAGTGTTTGATTTGAATGTAAATGTAATTGGATTTACCTAGGAAGTATGAATAAATGTTATATATATATATATAGTTTTAAGTTTCTCAATAAATAATAAAAATACAACAATAATTTGTTTTATAAATAAGATAAATAATCATTTTTCATACATTTGAAGGAAAAAAATCTTTCGTTCAAAAGTAATATTTCAGATAATATATGCATTTTTTCTATTTTCAAGTCTACAAGTCTACCTTTCTAATTTGAACAGATTGACCATAGAATAAAAGAAATCGTCAGGTATGACTCTTAATTCTATTAACATATGTTTGCATCAAAATTTGAAATATTTTGGTCAACTATTACAAGGAAAAATAAGCCAAGAGGTGGGCTGAAAGATTATTAAAATGTCATTAAATGGAATTAAACTGATATTTATTTGACCAAAATTAGCCAAATACTTGTATGCTTAGTTTATAAGTATCTAGTTTTATTCTAGATTTGCATCTCTAGCGCAGCTTCCTTAATATCTTCAACAATTTGAAATTCAGTTGGTTCCATAAATTTATGTTGGTTTGCTATTAGCCAGTTGATCAGTGGGAAGAAGTGCTTGAAACAAAATGCTACTTTATGGATTTTTTCTTAAAAAGCAATCATGTTGAAGTATGTTCTTTTCTAAGCAGCATGGTTCTGATAGATATTTGATACCTCATCATAATTTCATCTTGATTTACTCTCCATTAGCTGCGTGACAAATTATTTAACAACAAAGAAGAATTAGTAAGTATAACCTTAATGATAATGGAAATGGACTTGCAGCTTGTACAAATATTAGTGAAACTCAGCTTGTATATATGTAAGCTTTAGTGTATGTTGGCCAACATGATCACCAACAATTTCCACCAATATGGCAGCATAGTATTAGAATGGTGCATTGATGAGGAGATCTTGTTTCATAATACTAAATAGGTTTGCATATGGCATGGGTGGTGTTGCCTATGGTAGTTCAACCTAGTGTCGACTTTGTGCATGAGTGAACGGCATATTTGGTGTATTTGACGACAAACTTTTCGCATAGCATCTCGGTGATTTGGGCTAATTGCTTTTCTTCGCTTTTAGAGTGGAGAACGGTGAAGATGCAGTATTCTTCATTGGGGCGGTAAACGAGTCAAGTCGAGTAGAGTATCTACTTAATCGAGATTAGTTTATATAGTTCTTGTTGCGTCTAGGAATATTCTCGACGTAGAGAAAAATAAAGTTTAGCGTCTTAGCGTTGTACGAAGATCCAGCACGCAAGCAGAAAGAGAGAAGCAAAACATCCGATCTTTTTTACGTGGAAAACCCGAAGAGGGAAAAACCGCGGGGCCTCGTCCAGGTTAAAAGATTTCACTAAACTTGAGTGAATTACAAGGGTTGACCCGTCCCTCGATTTAGAGGTGGTCAGATTACAGTAATTTGAAGAGCTAGTCAAAGGTCCGATGACTGTCTGACGAAAATCTGACAGCTTTTGTACAGAAGTTTGGCCGACAAGGAATGATCCGACGAAGGTCTGGAGGTGAACGGCGGTCGGGCGGTGGTCCGACGATGGTCGGCGGCCGGGCAGTGGTCCGACGAAGGTCGGGCTGAAGTCCGGCGACGGGTGACGGTCGGGCAAAGGTCTGCTGGTGGGCGGTGGTCCCGACGAAGGTTGGGCTGAAGTCAGGCTGTCGGTGGTGGCCGAGCGAAGGCCCGGCGGCAGACGACGGCCGGACGGTGGTGCTAGAGCTCTTGAAGCTTCAGAGCTCTCTCAAATTTCCAGCCAAAGGTCCCCCTTATTATGAGAGTGGGGGTCTATTTATAGATTTTAATGAGTGGCACACCCCGTAAATCTAGAGAAGATCCGGGGCAGATTCAGAGTGCTCCATCGGATGGCTCGTATTGATTCCCCCTATCATATAGAGTGTTTCAACTGTTTAAGTGCCTTAACTGTGTTTGATTCATAGATATTGGGCTCTTTGGATTCGTCTCGCCGAGACGCTCGATTTGACTATAAGCATGTCATATTTGGATATCATTTCATTATCCAAATAATGTTTTAACCCTTCCAAATGTGGTCCGGGCCCCCTATTCGGACCCATTTCTGCCTGGGTTGGACCAATTTTGGTGTTATTTGGTTCGTCTCTTTGAGATGTTCAATTTGACTATAAGTTTGCTGAAATTGGAATTCAGATGTTCCCAAATTTAATTTTGAAAGTTTCCAACTTGAATATGCCTCAAGATTCGTGCTTGTTCTTATTCAACTCGAGCTCGACTAATTAAAAAATTATAGGCTCTAAGTCAGCTTGGTTATTCAAGATCATTTGGAAAGGTCGAGCTTGACTCGATTGTTGAGTTCGATTTCTGAGTTTTAAATTAAAAATTTTATTTTTTAAAAAAAAATATTTTTCAATTTTTTAAAAATGTTAAATTATTTATATAATATTAATTTAAATTAATTTCTAAATATATTTTAAATTAATCGAACATCTTAACAAGCTTTCGAGCTGAGCCCGAAAGAGCTCAAGTTTGAACTCGTGGCTTGATAAACTCGACTTATGAGCTTGTTGATGAGTCAAACTCGAGCTGGCTCAGCTCATTTACACCTCTATCATGCATAATTTTCCAAATAATATATGCAATTTTTCTATTTTCAAGTCTACCTTTCTAATTTAAATAGGATGATCAAAGAATAAAAGAAATCGTCAGGTATGACTTTTAATTCTATTAACAGATGCTTGCATCAAAATTTGAATTATTTTGGTCAACTATTACAAGGAAAAATAAGCCAAGAGGTGGGCTGAAAGATAATTAAAATGTTATTAAATGGAATTAAACTGTTATTTATTTGACCAAAATTTGGCGGTTAAAATTATTTCGCTTGATATGTAATGAGAAAATTCAACTTATTAAATATGAATGTTCAGATAATATTAGAATTTTAAACACTTGAAATTAAAGTTCATATCATTTGAATTTTAATTTCAACAAATTTATAGTGGAAACAAACAATTTAATGGGACTAGCTCATCTACATCAAAGATGTCTTAATCCGAATTCAAATGATGCTAGGGGGTTTTACATATATAAGACTGAAATTTTTTCAATTTACATATGTAAAGCATAAATTTTTGTAATTTTACTCGTATAGTTGATTCTGTCAAATTCTCGTATTTTATTTCTTATTGAGTTTCCCATATATGTAACTTTGTTATTTCCTATGTGGATCTTCGTGCAATACATAAATAAGAAGCTGCAACAAGGGTGTCAATTTTGGGTTCGGGTGGAACTCGAAATTTACCCAGCACTATTCAGGTCAACCCGAACGTGGCCCGTTTTTGAAAACGGGTCGGTTTTTTGGACCCGAACCCGACCCGCTTCAGGTCTGGGTCAACCCGACATGACCCGAATGATCCGTTTCCAACAAAAAATTGCTAGTTTTCATGTCAAAAACGGGTTAATATCCTCTTTTTCGAGTCAAAAATAGGTCAAAATCAGGTCAATCTCGGGTTGTCGGATCAAAATCGGGTTTTCGGGTCAATCTCGGGTTGTCGGATCAAAATCGGGTTTTCGGGTCAATTTCGGGTCAAAGGGTTAACCCAAACCTGACCCGATTTTTTAAACAGGTCGAAAATGTTGAACCCGAACCCGACCCGTTTCGGGTTCTGGTTGACCCTAACATGAAATTTTCGGGTCGGGTTCGAGTCGGATTTTCGAGTCGTGTCAAATATTGACACCCCTACTCCAACACAATAGTTTGAAAACTTCTATGAAATAATCCTATGAATTTACAAACATTTATCTAATGGATAGCAAGCATAACATCCATCATAATTTAGTCTCCATTCCAACACTCATTAATCAAAGAATCAGCCTCTCAATCAATGATGCCATAATCTAGTCAGTTGAAGAGCTCTTAGGTTTATCCTTAAAGGATCTTATTCGCAGGATGAAAAAGCATTAAATTCACGAGTTCAAATTTGAACACGAATCGAGCTTTTTATCGAGTTTAATGTCGAGCTTGTTCACGAACTTCAAATGATGGTTTTCGTGAACATAAATGAGCCGAACGCATTAGTGTTCAAGTTTGTTTATTTAAGAATCAAGTATTTAAAATATTATTCAAGTTTGTTTGTTTAGTTAGTTAAACGATCACAAACGAGCTTTAATCGAAACGAACAACGAGTAGCTCGTCGAACGTTTGGTTTGCTTGCAGCCCTATCCGCAATCTCACCAAAATTTCCTCGGCAATGTCACTTCAACCCATTCTTCTTATATTGATCGATCATCCCATAATCACCCTACCACCTTAGTGAAGTTGAAAGCCTTGTTTTAGTGGCACTCTCATGGTGCCATAGAATTATTTAAGAGGATAAACATAATTTTACTTCTCATCACAATTTTTTGAAATATTTGTCTCTAATTGACTTAATTCTCCAACATGTTATACTAATTGGGGGGTTCAAGTTATCAATTATCTATCCTTTGTTATGAGCACATCGATCGCTATAGGACTATCATACATACTCAAAAGTCTCGAAAAACATGAGTTAATTAGTTATGCCACATTAAACATATATATGGCTTACATTTTAATGAAGACACAAAATATTGAACATATGAGGATGTCAAAACCTTCACAAATATGAACAATGGAGACCATTCTCAATATTATTATTTTTATCATTTAAGAAGGTATTTGATAGAAAGATTTCTTCATTTGAAAGAAGAAATTGAGCTCCTCATTTCATTTAAATTTCAAAAAGATTTTTTATCTCACCCAAATATATTCATCATCTCTTATAGGTAACTAAATAATTATTTTTTTTTTTCAAATAAATTTTATAGATTATCATTATGCTTAATTATGATCAATGAACTTATTTAATGATAAATGCTTTATTCTACGAAAGATACATATTTTTCTACTTATTTAAAATTCTTACAAAGTATAAGTTTTAGAAGATATATATTTCCTTATTTAAAAATCTTATAATGTATGGAGTTGTTACTCATTTAAAAATCTCAAAAATAAAAATCTCAAAAGATATTTGAGTTCTATTTATCTAAAAATATCATTAAGTTTAAAGTTTTAAATAATACAATTTCTTTTATATATCCATAATTTTTAGAAATTATAATTCCTAGAAGATACATGGACTCAATTTACATAAAAGTCCATTAAGAAATCTAAAATGTTGTAGCTAATAAAAACGAAATCATAATAAGGTCCTCATTAATTAAGAAATATTTCCTTTACTTCAAAAGTCTAGTCAAGAGCTTCATGGAACTTCAACCAAGCAATATTGAACCAAGGATTTCTTCATGTCTTTCATAGCGTTTAACTTTCAAAAGATTTTAATGGCATCAATAGTAACATCAATATCTAACATTATCAATGTTGGCATCAGACGCTCATATCGCTAAGATTTAGGCTTCGTTTGGGACGGCTTTTTTATTGCTTTCTAAAACGGAGTTTTAGTACAATTTTTTTTATTTTTGTACTAAAACTCCGTTTTAGAAAGCAATAAAAAAGCCGTCCCAAACGAAGCCTAAATCTTAGCGATATGAGCGTCTGATGCCAACATTGATAATGTTAGATATTGATGTTACTATTGATGCCATTAAAATCTTTTGAAAGTTAAACGCTATGAAAGACATGAAGAAATCCTTGGTTCAATATTGCTTGGTTGAAGTTCCATGAAGCTCTTGACTAGACTTTTGAAGTAAAGGAAATATTTCTTAATTAATGAGGACCTTATTATGATTTCGTTTTTATTAGCTACTACATTTTAGATTTCTTAATGGACTTTTATGTAAATTGAGTCCATGTATCTTCTAGGAATTATAATTTCTAAAAATTATGGATATATAAAAGAAATTGTATTATTTAAAACTTTAAACTTAATGAGATTTTTAGATAAATAGAATTTAACATACAACTTTATCAAATATAATTTATATTATTAAATATTATCCTTAATTCAAAAAAAATATAATATTATTTGATATAACAAATTAAAAATATTTTATTTGATTACCATTTTTTAAATTAGAGACAAATAATAATTATGTAAATTGAATTCTTCTATAAAATAAATGATTTTATTTTCTTCATCATCAATCATCAATAATCTGTGCAGCCCATTTTGATAATTAATCATTTTTACCCAACCAATTTCTTTTTTTTAATATCTCAAAAAAAAAAACAATAAATAAAAAAATTTCTCAACTATAGCAAAGTTTGAAACGCTAACGCCCCTTCACCGGTTCCACATACTTGGCCGCCGAAATCTCCATCTGCGCGATCCTCACCGCCCCTATAAGCTTCTCGGGAAGCTCCTCCTCGCTCTGCGCCTCCACCAAAAACCCCATATCGATCGTCACCGCCGTCACGTACCCCATTGTCAGCTTCAACACCGCGCTCGCCACAGCCGAGCTCCCAATATCCACATCGATTTCTAAGTAGTTCTCCCCCTTGTGGTAGTTGCATGCCAGAGCCTTCCCCAACATACAAACCCCGTAGTTTCCCATCGCCGCCTTGAAGATCCACGGCCCCTTCACGATCCGATTCACGATCTTGAATCGCGAGTTGCGGAAGGCGTCGTCACCGTGGATGAATTGGTGGAGGACTGATCCAGCCGGGATGGGATTGTCGGCGGCGAAATAGAAGATGGCGGAGTGGTGTTCGCGGCTGGGGATTTGAAGATTGACGGCGATGATGAAGGATTTGAGGGATTGGCCGAGGGATTGGGCGCGGCGGAGGGAGGCGGCGATGGAATTATTTGGGTGGGAGAGGAAGTTGTCGAGGCGGTGAGTGGAGCGGAGCCAGTCGACGCCGGCGGGGAGGAGGAGCCAGTCTCCGGAGGGGGTTTTTTGGTTGTGGGAGAAGTAGTGGGAGCCACGGAGGGCGAAAAGGTCGCCCGGAGGGGAAGCCCATCCGTTGGATCCGGTTTCGAGGTCTACATGGCGGAGTGACCCGCCGTTGATGGCTTGCTGCCGCCATTCGTAGGAGGAATCGTCACCGGAGAACGAAAGGGATTCGTCGCCGGGGTTGACGATCGTCAGGCACATTTCTGCCGGCTGCGGCGTCGCAGCGTCTACGGATATAGGAGAGGCGCGACAACTCCGGCGATTACAATATTGTGATTCGGGCTGCCATCTTATTTATAGACTATAATATATGTTTTATTATTTAAGAATTTCATTAGTGCAAATTGCAAAAGTCTCTCGCAAAAGTCCAATGCTTGCAAGTTTTGAAATATTTTCGTATTTTTTTAGGTTTAAAATGTAAATAATTATTTAATTTTATATTAATGTGAAATGAAAGAAAATTGTGTTATAACATTAAGGATCTCTTTGGGACGATTTGCTATGAAGAAAATAATTTTATTATTAAAGTGATAAAAATAATTTTTTACTACAAAATTTTTAAAAAGCAATAAAAATTTGTAGACAAACGAAATTGTGATTTCTCTTTAAAATCAAAGTAGCCATAAAGCTATCCCAAATGGTTCATAAGATATTGAAAACATTATTAAATGTATTTCAAAATGTTAACTTTCCTATTGAGTTCATTCAGGCTTCGCCTGATACGACTTTTTTGTTGCTTCTTAAAATATTTTTTACTATATATTTTTTTTTATACTAAAAAGTTGTTTTAAGAAGTAAATAAAAAACTGTCTAAAACGAAACTTAAGGTTTCATTTGGAACAGCTTTCTTACTGCTTTATGAAGCAACTTTCTAGCATAAAAATTTATAATTCAAAAAAATTTTGATTGAAAAATTACTTCATAAAACATTAAGATAGTCTTTCCAAATAGAGTTTAAAGAATAATTATATAATAAAGATATTACAATGAGATTTATGTTTTACAAACTCCAACAATTACTTGAAGTAGTTAGAAGTTTAAACTTTCAAACTTCGAATTAGTATATGCCAGCAAATGCCAAAGGAATTACGACATTGCCATTAGGTGGTAAACAGCACATGTAGTAAGTTGCAGCAAGTCATGCAGGCCGAGTAGTCAGATGTCTTTATAATTTGGTAATTTCGTTATGTTTCTAGAGAACATGACAAAGGCGATGCTGATTTTATTTTCTCAAATTTATTAATTTAGGCTTCATTTGGGATGGCTTTCTTGCTGCTTCTTGAAGCATCTTTTTAGAACAAAAAAATTAATTTTTATATTAAAAAACTGCTTTAAGAAGCAGTAAGAACGTCCCAAACGAAGCTTTAGTTTGTTTCGGTCACAGAGTTGTCTTACAACGGTTAAATTTTAATGGGGAGAGGTGTTTGATTAGAATATGGGTTGGTTGATCTTTAGAGATGATATGATTCTAGAAAAATCATACAAGAATCTCGAGGTAATTTTAGAATTGAAAACTTTTGAAATTAAAATAATGATCATTTGAACTCCAAATTTGACATGTTTATAGTAAAAACGAGCAGCTCGATGAGATTAATCTACAAAGTTCAAGATCACTCAATTCCTACATCATTAAGATGTTTAAACGCTAGTAAAACATTTCAAGATTAAAAGAATTGATATGAGCTGTACGATGAGTGTTTTGGATTCTAATTCAAATTACTAAAACATCCATCCCAAAATGTTCATAAATAAAGCTTTGTTTTCCACATGAGGGCGAGGGAGAAAGAAGAGATTAGAGAACTCTCTTGTATTTTCTAGCTATCGATGTTGACGACCACCACCAGCTATTGTTATCAACAACCACCATCGCCATTGACAATCTTTGTCACTGATCGCCGTCATCTCTACAATTCTGATAAGATTTAACTTTGTTGTTGGATAATTGCTTGTTTGTGGACACTTACTTTTTATAATCTCTATCGGGAAAATCAAGTCCTATTCTTAGGAGTTAATTGTCCATTTTTGGACAATTGATTTCTCTTAACCCCCATAAGTAGAAATCAAACATCTTATTCTAAAATAGTCATCTTCTTTTTCAAATGTGTGGAAAGAACGATTCTTGTATCTTTTGATATATAGTGCATGAATTTTTCATCTAGGTCATACCCCATGATTTTTTTTCTTTTCAGGTTTTCTATATTGAGCATTTAATAGCTTTTTCCACCTGTGGGAAATAATTCTTAGTTGGGGGCAACCTTTACTATAACCTTAAAGGGTTATTCACATCAATGTCCTGGGCATGATTGTAGTATGATAGTCTCTTTACCATGAATTATTATCATGTTCAAAAGAAGTCCATTATTTAGGGGAAACTCACTGCAACATTAAACTGACATTGTTCTATCTCCTTTCAATCATCATCCATTATTACATCCATTTTGAGGAAAAAATAGATTTGGACAAGGGGTAATCTTGCTTACAATCTCAAAGGAATATTTATGGTAAAATATCAAATATAGATGTTATCGAATAAGTCTCTTCAAGATTTTGTGCTTCCATGATAATCTTTCTAAAAACCACCATTCATTAAACATCCAACAAATACAAGGATGCTTTAAGTAAATCTCTAACTCCATAAAATCCATAATAAGGCTTCTACTCAGGCAAGGTCATAGTCTCAACCTCGAAAAGATAGTAATGATCTAAAGATAGATCGATATTCACCTTTGATTTGTGACACAAGTAGCATTCGTCCCCTCCCAATCAAGGTATAATCGATCCTAGAAGGTTTAATTTGACCTCTTTTACACAGATTAATGTCATCGAGTAATACTCTTACAAATAATCTCGAATGAGCAAAACATCCTAGAGAAATTTCTTTTGATCTTTTCTGCACAAGTTAATATCATTGAGTAACACTCTAATAAATAACTTTGGATAGGACAAACAACTTTATTGGATTTCTCCTAACATCTTTTACACAAGTTAATGTTATCGAACAACGCTATAATAAAAAAATCCTACTGATATATGCCTATGAGATAACCTATATGGAAAACTGGTAATGGGAAGGGTTCTCACTAGAAATATCCCATGAGGGAAAGTTGCATATAAGGACTTCACTCAAAACCCTAAGAAGGCACACCTGTAAGATAGACAAATACTTTTTTTAGAAGTCATTATAAGTTCAAATCATAATTTGTCTTTGTCATAAGATATATATTATTATATTTTAATATAATAAACTTTTAATAATTTTTGGGCATTTGTGATAATCCTTAAGAAATTGATATATATCGATATAAGTAGATATTTTGGAACTGTTATGTTCCCATTTTAGGAATCAGTTAATTTTATTTCATGATACAGATCAAAGCTCTACCATCAAGATAGAAATCTTAAGTATCATTGACAACTTCACATGAATAATCCATTTTCATAAAATGGGGAAAGAGCAACTTGTTATCTGTGGAGAGGGATACTAGAGTTTGAAAGGGGTTACCGCATATTCAAGACAGTGAAATAACTGTCTTAAAAGAAAAAGTGGATAAGATATGGGACAAGAGTAACTCATTCTGTAAAGAGAGACATTAGAGCTTGAAAGGGGATACCACTTATTTAAGATAGTAAAATGTCTCTCTTGAGAGAAGAAATGGAGAAGAGAAGGGAGCAAGAGCAACTCATTCTCTACAAAGAGGGACACTAGGGTTTGAAAGGGGATATCACATATTCAATATAAGGGAATGCCTCTCTTGAGAGAAGTGTATAGGAGAAGGGGGAAAAGATAAATTATTTTATAAGGAGAGGGGCACTAGAATTTAAAAGGGGATATCTCCTATTCAAAATAGTGGAATGTCTCTCTTGAGAAAAGAGGTGGAGAAGAGAAGGATGCAAATCATTATCTAAATAGAAGGGTATTGGAGTATGAAATAAGATATCGCCCATCCAAGATAGTGAAATGTCTCTCTTGAGAGAAGTTTGTAGAAGAGAAGTGCAAACTCCTCCTACAATGAATGAGTACATAGATTTGAAAAAGGGGATGAGAATTACATGACTTTAACTGAAAGAGTTATGTCTTTAATAAAGAGAGTTATGTGACTTAAATGAAGAATGCTATATGACTTTTTTTTTGGGATAAATTTGGCCTGAGCCTTTTATTCAAGAATAAAATTAAAGTAACAGTGGTAAAAAAGGAGCAGTCTGGAAAGTAAGAAAAACAAAAGGAAATACAGAAAAAAAGTTTTAAACAGAAAAAACTTGTCGGTTAGAATTACATCCAAAAAACTCAGCAGATAGCAAGTTGCCTTTGACAAGCTCAGAACTCAGTTAGACTGGCGCTAACAAAGAGAATCATATACTCTGGTTGCCCGAAGACCATCCAAGAGTATTCAAAGTCAGACTATCCTCATCGTTCAGACTTAAATAAAAGTTTCTTCAAAGCCTGACAGAAAAATCCAATCTTAATAAAAAACCCCACGAATTAACCGGCAGAGACCTGCCCTCCCAAAGCACATCCAGAATCTGATGAGAAATTTAAACCTCCAGCTTTCTAAATTATCACGGCCACCACCGTCAATGTGTCTGAGTACGGGCTTTTAATGTCTTCCATTTCAAGGATTTTATTCTCACATCTTTCAAAATATCAGTTGCTAAAGTGAAAAAGCATTTTGCCGTAGCATTATACCTTCTGTTGTTCCTTTCACGCAAAATATGATAAATAGTGGCATTGAATAACAAGAGCCTGTATGATTTCTCCTTTTTTTCACCCGGTAAACCACCAATAAATTCCAATGCTTGAGATACATTGGGTCTAAGTAGAAAGTTTTGCAAGGTAGGAATAACCCTAATAAGAATCTTGTAGGAATACTCACAATCAAAAAAAAAAAAAAATGGCGCGTGGATTCCGTATATTCCTGACAGAGATAACAATTAGGATTATCAATATAAATGCCTCTCAAGGCTAAAACCTTAGCTGTTTTTAGCTTGTCTAAAAGAGACATCCAGGTATAGATAGAGTATCTAGGAGAATTTCTTTTATGCCAAACAAACTGAAACCAGTCCACGGATTCATGAGACTCAAAGAATTTCTTGTAATAATCTTTGTATGAGTGCTTAGTGTTGCCATCCCAGTTAAGGCTAAGAGGATTTTCCACGGCTAGAGGAATGTTATAACTGTAATTTTTTATTTCATCCCTAAGAAAGTTAGGGACGCACCAATTCCCACTATGCATCCAACTATCTATAGTTTCATTATCCTTGCAAAAACTAATAAAAGAAAGTTCAGGGAATCTATTAGACAGTTTTTCTCCCATTCACCAGTGATCCCATTTAATAGATGCCTTGCAAAAATAATGAGGTGAGAAAAGAAAGTTTTCTCTAACCTGGGAGGCAGTATCAC